CTTTCTTCCGATAAATAATGTTGCAACCTGATATCTTGTACTGCAGAGGTTCTTACTCTGTTGTGTGTTTTCTGTTTTTGAACTGAGTTTGATATCATTTAACTCATTCTCCTCCAGATGGTTTTGAGCGAAGTGATGTTATACTCAGTTCGAAAACAGAAAACACACAGTGGAGTAAGAACCTCTGCAGTACAAGATATCAGGTTGCAACATTATTTATCTGGAGAAAGTTTCCCACCAGTGCCTGTAAAATATGGACATTTCATTTACATCGATTATTAATTCTAGCTATATGTGTGAACCAGTGATTTTTTGGGAGGGAGCAGTAAAAAAATGCTGGTGGTATAATAGCGTACTTTCTTACCGACAGGGCAGGTGATATGATAGCATACCTTCTTACCGACCGAGCCCTCGGCACTGGCGGCAGCCATTTTTTTATCAAGAGAGTGTCCGCCGGCCACCGCGGCAGCAGTGGCTGTGTTGCCCGCCAATAGCATTGAGTTGCATACCCCTGCTCATGACTGGTAAAACGCGACGTGATTGGACAATCCTTTTGCTAGAGATGGTGGTTGGTTGCTGTCGTGAGTGGTAAAGTGGATTTTGAAAATTTAAAAATTTAGAAACATTGACCGTATCTGTTGTTTAAAATAGCATGAATAGGTTTCGGAAGCATCTATTACCAATCTACAGGTAAGGATAAGGAGTTATTTTTAGTCAGTGTTGTCAAAATTGTATCTTACAGACTTAGGCCTTGCATGCCGCATTACCCAAAATTCTAGGTCAGCTTCTGATATCGCAAGAGGCCTTTCCTTCTTGCTTTACGATTGGTTCTGCTGCACAACAGAAGAGTGCTATGCAATCCATTGCTAGCTGAGGTATCAGACTAATGATGGCTATGTTGCTGCATTGTAGGACCCGAACCAGCCCCACTCCTGCGAGAGATGTAATTGCTGTGTTTGCACTGTGTGGGGATGCCCCCATTCATAAAACAGTTCAGTGTAAGTGAAAGAGCTGAAAGCTCTCTTATTGATATTACTCTTTATTCATAGGAATTTGCTGTCATCCCAGCGAAAAAATTGCTGCCCATGGTGATGAACCTTTGCTGATGCAGCTCAAGAAAGGAGTACCCCAGGAGTCCACCGCTTGCATGCTGTCTGTATGAAGTCACTGTGTTGACACTCACTTTTGGGTAAGTTGTTTGCAGATCTAAACTCTTGAATTATATAATAAGTGACTAATGCAGTACTATGAAATAGTTGAATGTTAACAAGCTGTCTGTTGCATAGCAAATAGTGTAGAAGTAGGTGAACTCTAATAGAGACTCTAGTAATGTGTAAAACATGTTTGTTCTTATTTTTTTGGGATGGTGTGGCAGTACTGAAGAAGATTTGTTCGCTATGGTGAGGGACGTCATGAAGTGTGAACTGAGCAAGGAGGATTCAGTTATTCTTCACCTGCCCTTAGCACATTATCTGGGAGGAACTTCTTATGGAGGATGGAGAACCCATGATTCATTACCCCCAGCACATTCATTGTTCACCAGCCAGAAGGATTTATTGCAGTCAGTGTGTGTATGATGTGAGATGAATATTATGGTGTAAGATTTTAAAAATCATAAATGAGAGAACATCTTGAATTTGACTACAGGCTAGCTAGGACACGTCCATGAATGGTCTCATTTTAGGTTCATAATGCAAAATTTTGCAAACTTTTATAGATGAATTATAATTTATGACTGTTGAAGAGTTTATATAATCAGTCTTTTTTTTTTTGTCAGCAGTCCTGGAGAGGCATCAGTGAAGAAATTGCTGCTGAAGGATCTCAGTGTGTTCAAGCTGAACAAGGAAGATGCAGGAAGTCACCCCTTCCTTCTGTGCACATACCGTCCGCAAGGCAGCTGTTGATTCAAGACTTGAGAAGAATGGCCAAGAAATTCTCCCTTGACATTGGTCGTAATCTGTGAGGGGGTCCTTGAAGTAAAGATGTGTGTTATGTGTGAAGCAGTGAATTTTTAGGTGTTTGTAGCTGTGAAGATTCATCTTCTGATTTAGGACACTGCATAGTGTAGTAGGTGGATATCAGCCCTGAAGATGGAGACACTGAGTTACTCCTCAGTGTTAGCGGCCTCCGTAGTCTAGGGGTAACGTTCCCACCTCATGATTCAAGGTATGTGGAATTTTTAAGGGTGGAAAAATTCAGGGAACAAGTCCTCCGGGAGGGACTTTAAGCCGTGGGTCCCGTGTCGTAGATTTACAGCACGTAAAAGATCCTCATGTCTCTAGGAGACCTCTGAGTGAAATTAGGCAACAATTTCCCACCCAAGTAGTTTCCAACGCCTCTGGTAGAGGGGGGAAATATCAGGTACCGAAGGCTGACCTCGTTGGCTGAACGGGGCTGATAGCATGGACCAGTACTGGTAGGGTATGGCGACAGTAGAAATTAAAGGGGGACGCACAATGGACCAATAACTGGTCTAAGTGCATGGGGAAACCCACCCCCTCTAATAATAATAATAAAAATACTCCTCAGTGTTAGTACCCACCTGCTAGACTATGTGGTGTCAACACGGATCACTGTATAGGAGTGTATGGTAAAGGTAAAATTGTCCCTGTGCTTAACTAACTAAGCACTATGCCATGAAGGCATATGGGGTAACGGATGAGTAGATCCACAATTTCTTGACCTCGGCACTAGGAGGTGAGTGGTCAGCTTTACGACCCGGCTGCTTTACCCCCAGTACCCAGGGTCGACTCAGCCGTGTAGACCCCAGAACCGGTCTGGACAACATGGAGAAGTGAAAATTCTTGACCATACCAGACTTGAACTCTGACCTCTTGGTCGTCCATCCCATAGCCAGTCACTATACCAACTGCGCTATCCCGGCTCCTACAATAGGATATGTTGTTTGGAAATTAGTAATCAGAGTGGCTATCTTAAATTTGCATATTAATTGATCCATTTTTGTTAAGTGTATAATTTCAATACCAATCACAGCAGCCTTATGGTCTATGGCATGAACTGTCTTCACTCACTCACACACTGGGATCATGGGTTCGAATCCCACTCAAGGCATGGTTGTCTGTGTGCATTCTCTGTGTTTTTGTTGTTCTGTGTAAGTAGTGGCCATGCGATGGGCTGATCACTCATCCAAGGAGTCTACCGACTGTATATGATTAAGAAACAGAAAAAGTGACCAAGGTCCAAAAAAGGGCTGTAGAGCCATAGGTAGATAATTTCAATGGTTTGCCGTGCACATAGCGCAAATACTGTTTCCTGAGGGGAATTTGCAGGTGTGCAGTGTTTTATGCACAGTGAAAACTTTGAGTATGTAATACTGAAAATAATTATAACAAAAATGCATTTGCATTTATTACGACAAGAAGTGTCTGATGTAGTAACATATTTCAATGAATTCGTCCCCTGCTTCATAGTAAGTTAAGGCACTAGAAACCTTGTGTGCTGGCTGTGATGAACTGTTCCTGTTTGTTGACAGCCATGGAGAGATGAGTGAGAAGCATCACTGTTTGAAGTGGAGGGTGACGGTAGCAGGTCTGCAGGAAGCAAGGAACATGCTGGAGGGCCCACACATGCGCGACACCTGCAGCAGTGGTTCTCAGCCTTGTTCATCCCACACTGTCCTACCAGTCTTGTAATATTCTTAACTCTTTGACTGGCGCGAAGGGTATTTAAATCCCACCCCTGTCCTGGCAGACCCTTTAAACCTTATGTCGCTAAAATGCATGTTGTTACTTTTTCCTAAACAACTTCAAGAAAAATTGGTTTTTAAAAACGAAATTTTTAGGAACTAATTAAAATACAATATTTTATGCAATAAATGCTTTTCCACACCTCTTTATTTGTTTTTCTTCGTGTGATAAACATTGAAACATGAAAGTTTGCAGAGAGCCACACCACAGCCTGCACACATGATACTTGTTTCTTTTCTAACCTTGTAATTAGCACTCACGCGACACTTTCTCAGGGCACCATTCTTCTTATTGTTACTGTTAGGAACATGGACCATTTTGTGAATTTTCAAGCNCCTTACATCTCTGTGGGTAATGTCTCTTGTGGTTTTAATCAAGAAACTATCAGTAACTGTTTATTTGAATGTACTAATTTTGCCAACACGTGGTGGTTGCTTGGTCAGTATAGTTCACTTGCAGACTAAAGCCATGGAGTTTATTTGAATTAGCTCATTGCCAGGTTTTACATTTTATACATTACACGTGAATTGAAAAGTTCAGAAAGAGAAGGAAAAGTGTGCTAAAAATGCATAAAAATACAAGATATGATATGTTCTTATTGACATTGGACAGATGTGCAGAACAAGAACAAAGACAGTCTTAAATTGGGGGACAAGAATAAGTTAGTAGGATGTGTATGTATTGACCGTCTTGTAGTGCACAGAATCTCACTTGTCACTTCACTACATGTTTCGGCATCACTGTGCCATCCTCAGGTGTGTTATTTACGTTAAACTATTGCACTGCTCACCATCATGTGTCATTCATAAAATGATTTAAAATGTATATTCGTCATGTACTATAATAAAATTTGTTAAGATTTATCATCTTATACGTCGTATTTCAAACTCATGTATTATATCATTCTTCCGCTATGGGAGTCGTTCTTCCTATATTTTGTGTATACTGTATCATGTGATGTATCCTTCTTTTGTGTGTTAATCAACGCACGCAGGACGCTAAAATACAACATTAAGTTAGTAGGAAATAAAAAAAAACTGTAAATTACATTGCTTTTCGAACATAATAAATTCTTCTGACATAGGTTTGAATGTCAGTTAGTGTGTGCATGTGCTGCGTTCACTGAGTGAATTCCAGTTTGTTTAATTTGGTTTTCATACACAACCCACAGTTGGCAAGCTTGTGTTATCTTGTAGGACATTTGCCAGTTATCACTGTGTAAACAGATTAATATACATTTTTAGGCAAAACTTTATTTGGGTCAAATGCTTTATGCCTCTCCCTCCCCAGGGGACACCCCACATCTGCAACATGATCACAGGCTTCTGAGCAAGGGGAGAGAGTCCAGTGTGTCAGCACTGAAGGTACTATGATCGGACGCTTCTCACCATTACCACTACATACAGTAAGCTGTATTGTGTGTGAGGTTTGTTTGCGTAATGTAGGTATTCCTGCCTTACTAGACTGCTGAATGTAATGTCAACAGTAGTGACTATGCAGGGAGAATTACAGATGGAACCCCCCTTCCAGGGGAGATGTAATTGCTTTATTTGTACTCCGTGGTGATGTCTCCATGCTTAAAGAGTTTACTGTAACTGAAAGCATTGAAAAGTTCTCTCATAGATATTATTGTTTGATGACAGGATGTCTGTAACAGTGGAGGGATTGCTATTTCAGCTGCTGAAGGAAGTCATCCGTGCCATGTGCCATGTGAAGGAGGCTAGTGACTGGAGACAGGAAGAACATGCAGAAAATTCTACTCGTGTGTTATGTACCAACTACAAGGAGTTCACGTAGAAAAGGTGTGTGTTTTGTTTGAAGTTAAATATAAGACATGTTGGTTAGAAATAGTCAGTGGGCTACCCTCATCTTGCACATTTTATGTTCCATGATTTAAGGTCATCTCTCATGTAACATTCATGGGGCACTATGCTACAAGCTGGAAGGTCATGGGATTGAGTCCTGATAAGGTGTATTTTTTTCAGTTGACCTAATCCTTCCAGCCGCACTATGCCCCTGGGGTCGACTCAGCCTCTAACAGAAATGAGTACCAGGAATATTACAAATGTGGCTATGGATATCATGGTGCTTTGCCTGTAGTAGCTGAAATGTAGAGGACAGAATTATATAATTATTGATTGGGAATTTTGGTTGGACAGGAATTTGGAAATGGAAAATAAGCACAAGTTCTTCCATGAAATTTTTGATATATATGTATTGCAGTATTGCATGGCTTGCATTTGTAAGGGAATGGAAATTAATTTCCCATTTTTAAGGAGCTGAAGTCTTTACTTTTATATATTTTTACAGTGTTCTAATATGGAGATATCTTTGAAAAAAATTTACTTAGTGTATGGGTATTATTAGTACCTTTTCTTTAGGCCAGTATGTATACCAGCAAATACTTGATCTTTATTGACAAGCTTGTCAAAAGTCTCACACACATTTACCATTGCACTGTATTTTTCAATCTTGAGGTAAAAACTGAACCTGAGACTACCAAAACATGTTTGTTTGGGGAGGGGCGAGTATTATCATGCAGGAATGTTATGTAACCGTAAATTTTTTGTGTCATTGCAAGCCACATAGAAGTTTTACATTTTGTTGAAATTAAAAGTGGATAAAGTTTGAAATTGTACATGCAGATCAGGATCTCTTTTTTAATGCTATTCATGTAATTGTTTCAGGCCTGCAACTCACCAGCACGAGACCTCAAGTGACTCATCTGCCATAAGAGGAAGGAGTTGTTGCTGTACAGTCATAATGAGCGAGTTACAGCATTTCTCTGACATCTATTATGCTGTCCTGTCATCCATGCATGGCTCTTTCTCATAGTTTTTTCTCTTGCGGCTATGCCACCAGAATCTCTGCATGTCAAGACTGAAGTGAAAATCTGGGCATGTCAAGATTGAAGTGAAAATCTATGCATGTCAAGACTGAAGTGAAAATCTGGGCATGTCAGGACTGAAGTGAAAATCTGGGCATGTCGAGACTGAAGTAAAAATCTGGGCATATCGAGACTGAAGTGAAAATCTATGCAAGTCAAGACTGAAGTGAAAATCTGGGCATGTCAAGACTGAAGTGAAAATCTATGCATGTCAAGACTGAAGTGAAAATCTGGGCATGTCAAGACTGAAGTGAAAATCTGGGCATGTCAAGACTGAAGTGAAAATCTGGGCATGTCAAGACTGAAGTGAAAATCTGGGCATGTCAGGACTGAAGTGAAAATCTGGGCATGTCAGGACTGAAGTGAAAATCTGGGCATGTCGAGACTGAAGTAAAAATCTGGGCATATCGAGACTGAAGTGAAAATCTATGCAAGTCAAGACTGAAGTGAAAATCTGGGCATGTCAAGACTGAAGTGAAAATCTATGCATGTCAAGACTGAAGTGAAAATCTGGGCATGTCAAGACTGAAGTGAAAATCTGGGCATGTCAGGACTGAAGTGAAAATCTGGGCATGTCAGGACTGAAGTGAAAATCTGGGCATGTCGAGACTGAAGTAAAAATCTGGGCATATCGAGACTGAAGTGAAAATCTATGCAAGTCAAGACTGAAGTGAAAATCTGGGCATGTCAAGACTGAAGTGAAAATCTATGCATGTCAAGACTGAAGTGAAAATCTGGGCATGTCAAGACTGAAGTGAAAATCTGGGCATGTCAGGACTGAAGTGAAAATCTGGGCATGTCAGGACTGAAGTGAAAATCTGGGCATGTCGAGACTGAAGTAAAAATCTGGGCATATCGAGACTGAAGTGAAAATCTATGCAAGTCAAGACTGAAGTGAAAATCTGGGCATGTCAAGACTGAAGTGAAAATCTATGCATGTCAAGACTGAAGTGAAAATCTGGGCATGTCAAGACTGAAGTGAAAATCTGGGCATGTCAGGACTGAAGTGAAAATCTGGGCATGTCAGGACTGAAGTGAAAATCTGGGCATGTCAGGACTGAAGTGAATGTACAATGGGTGGGCGCTCTTGGCCCTTGCAGAGTGACCACAGTGATCTATTGCGCTTCCCCTTATTATCTCCTCAGCAAACAAAGGACGCACAGGATTTTCGTGGGGATGTCGAAGTAGTCACTTGGTTCCATAAAATATTGACCTAAGTGATGTAATCTTAAATAAGCTATGGCCTCGCATTCACACAGGATATGTGTGGCTGTGACTGAAGTGAAAATCGGTGCATGTCAAGACTGAAACATGACAGGAAAATACTATTATAGTATTACAGGAAGAAATGTCCGTTTGATGTGTGTGGCCATGTCAGACTGCCTCTCTTGCTTTACTATGTTTGCATGCAGGAGGGTAACACATATGCATGATATCATCCGACTTTGTGTCTTGCTTTGTTGCCGTCGATGTGCAACATCGGTTACTAATCACTTGCTTTTCTTTATTGGCACTCCATGTTTCAGCCCAACCAGCCATCTTCAGTTGTACATGCTCACTGTAATGCTGTTTCGTTTCTGTTATGTGGAGGCTTTGGATTGCATCTGGTTATGTGGGTTAGTCATCTGTTTTTTTATTTAGGTGTCCTTGAGCTTCATGTCCATGAGTTTGCTTCATGGTTTTGTTTAGCTGTGGCTCTCTTGATTGTTCTTGGGCGGGAATTTGTGTTGATGGCCAACCACAGCACAACAATTATGCCCAGCTCAAGGACACCTAAACAAAAAATGGATGGTTAACCCACATAACCAGATGCAATCCGAGGCCTCTACATAACAAACAGAACAGCATTACAGTGAGCAGCAGGTTCCTTGATCACAACAACCTGTACACCTGAAGATGGTCAGTTAGGCCGAAACATGTAGTGACGACAAAGAGAAAACTGTGAGAGAGTGTTATCTGACGTTGCACACGGACTGTACTTCATTTATGCACAAGAAATATTGGCACACTACAACAATACAGTAATTGTGCTGTACTAATTAACTGAACTGTGATCAGTTCAGATGAATTACATTACATAATTAAATTATTTCTCAGAGCATTGTTTCACAGTAGTGAGTCTGTTAGGAACTCTGTACAAATTAATAAATGGCAAGTCTACCATTGCAAACATTTAAAGCTATCGGCCTGACGCTTCAGTGGCCCTGCCTGGGCTCCAACTGCACGTGGCCACCTCAAGTTTACAGTGAAACTTTTAGTGCATTCAAATATATAATGAAATTAAAACATTTTTATATCATTTTTCCTAAAGTTGATAAACATTTAAATACTACACCAACTGAAACTATTTTATTGTACCTTTCTCAAAAGGATACTGACTAATAAAGAAACAAAATCGTCAGATTCTTTTGGCAGGTGTGTCATACATTCTGTTTGAAAACCATTTACTGAAAAATTAATCACCTATGGTAAGGATAGATAGCAATGACCATCAATAACCATAAGGAGACTGCTCTGAGTGAGAATGTTAAAAATTAAATCAACTCCATACATAATTCCAACCTTGCAAGTAACCACACTAACTGAACAACATATTCTGCATGCACCTAATGGAGTAGGTGTACATGTTTTAAATTATAATCCCTATTTCGTGAAGAAATACACAAATGTAACAACTTTTGTAATAGTGTGACTTCAAGTTAATTTCCATTAACAAAGACTAAAACATATTGAAACTGTCTTAAATAATTAGGTGGCTGGAATGAATGTCACTGAGGTTGTCAACTTACAGTTATACATTCCTGATACCAAGGAAAATGTAAGTTTGGGAACACCTGTAGTCCGTCTGTGTACCTTCTTAAGTGAAGATTAGTAACACATCAGGATTACAATTCAGACTTCAGATAATGTTCGGCATTGACTTATATATTCATTTTGGGTTCAATCATTAAAGCCACCTCCAAGAAGATGCCATAAGATCAGTCTTACACAGTTTCATGACCTGATATTATTATTGGCCGAGTCTTATGTATCTTTCAAGTTTCCATATACCTACAGAAGACTCCTGATCATCTCCATGTGAATTAAGCACAGGACTTTTATAACCATATATAAGATTTCTAACCACCGTCCACTGTAAATAATAAAAGCTGTTTAACTATTGTTACCATGTCATACATATATATGTTATGTCTTTTAACTAATGCTAAGGTGTACATTGATTTGTTAAAACATCCAAAATTATTACAGAAGTGTCACAACACGAACCAAATTGGTTCTAGAAACAGACTAATTGTAATAAGTTTTAGATGCTTTAACAAATCAATGCACATCTCAATATCGGTTAAAAATATATTATATTTATATCTATGACATGTAATAGTAGTTTCCATATGTGTTGAAAATACTATTCTGAAGATTGTCGTTTTGATTGGAACATGTAAAGGATGATTAATTAAAAACAACTTTTATCAATTACAATGGACGGTGGTTAAAAATCTTACATACAATTACTAGTGTGATGGACCAGGATGAACAAAGTTACTTTTATAACCCATTACAAATTTTCCAGTGATACATCAGTGGTGCTTTACAATGATTTGCAGTGGACTGTACATCTTCTGATTCTGTTGCTTGTATAATTTTACAGTTTTTCATTCTGGCCTACCAAAGAACAAGAGTTTCTTTCTTCCCTTGGAAGGATACATGTCACACTGTTTAGTGACCAAATTGCAGGCTTGAATGCAGCATGCTATTGCTATTGCAATCAAGAAAGGCCAAATATAATTACTTCATGTCTGATTTAGCTTAGAGGATGTCCATCTGGCTCAGGTCCTATAAGCAAGCAACTAATCACTAGAAATTGTACTTTTCAGTTTACAGGTGCCAACAGGTTACCTAAGGAAGCAAGAGAACCACTGTACTCATTTGAATGTGACATGAACTCTGTAGCCTTCCTTCCAGTACACACAGGCACTGTCAGCAGCTGCAAGCTGTGTCTTATTTAAAAACAGAGATGATATTCCAGACAGTAAGAAACAATAAAAACATATGTCCATGCCAAAGTTCAGAGTTGGTGCCAGCATATTTCATGAAGAATTTGAAGTTTTGTTTTGAGGTGGTTGCCCTGAAAAAGAAAGAAAGAAAATGTAGTAATGCTCATGTTAAACTTGAGGATCTCACAAAAACCTCACATGGTGGTTTTCTTTTTGAAAATTAAATTTCATATTCTGCATCAAAAACAGAAATTTTTAGTAAAGCTTCACAGTATCAAGGAGGAAAGTCTTATTAATCAATCCATCATTAAAATGACACTTTATAGTGTACAGTCTACAAATTATAACAAGACAAGTGACATGCTCAGAGAAAAACAAATATTTACTATGCAGCAGTATAATCACCATATGACATTATCAACATTACTATATGGCTTCCCATCTACTCAGCCTCTAAGTTAAAGCTATGAATTACTGTTATTTGCAATGTCAAGATTAAACAAATTGTGAATTCAGTTCACTGGTTTCATCTAGTAATCTGTGTTCTCGTGTCTAAGTCTGTCAGTTAATGAATACAATTTTTTTTAATTAGAACTGGTTGTTCTTTTCAATGAGTGCAGACAAAAGGCATACTCATGGTTGTTTACCGCCACTAAGGACCACGAATGGAGACTGCATTTCTTTCTGCTTCTGATGCAAGAGGCTAAGTGTTCTGAGTGGGTGTCTGTTGAGTTCATCTGTTTCATCAACTGGAAACAAAAAAAAAAAAAAAAAAAAAAAATAAACAATGGGGCCCAAGTGTTTTGCCCTTAAAACATTCT